CTCCATCAGGGACTCTCTATTGTGTTCCCTGTCAGGGCGGTCATTGGTGGTAGCCAGGCACCATCTAGTTCTTCTGGTCTCAGGCTGATGAAGTCTCTGGTGTATGTGGCCGTTTCTGTCTCTTGGGCTAATACTTTCCTTGTGTCTTTGGTGTTCTTCATTCTCCTTTACTCCAGGTGGTTAGGACAAATTGATGCATCTTAGATGGGCACTTGCAAGCTTTTGAGACCCCAGACGTCAGTGGCCAATTTTTAATTGCACTTTGGCTTCTCTCCCACACCTGACACTTTCCTGACCAATTGCTGGCCAACTGGCATGGGCTAAGGAGACACAAATTAACCGATGTTAACCTAAGAAAAAATGAAATTGGGAAATCAGCCTACCCAATCCAGCCACACAATGGATGCATCCCAAAACAGGCAGAAGTGATTCCTGGATTATTTGGTCCCCATGTGGTATACCTTAAGGGTTCCTGGGTGACACAAATGGTTTGTACTCAATTACTAAAGGTTGGCAGTTTGAGCCCATCCAGTGGCACTCTGGAAGAAAGACCTTGTGATCTGCTTCTGTAAAGATTACAGCCAAGAAAACCCTAGGGAGCTCAGTTCTACTCTGTAGCACATGGAGTTGCCATGGGTCAGAATTGGCTCAATGGCAACAGTGGGGGTGGTTTTTGTTTAGTTGGTATGCCTGAGATGGGGTGTGAATTCCCTATCTCATCTTTCTTAGTTTAGGGTTTGCACATGGCAGAAAGAGAAAACATATATCTGTAATTCAGTCATTCATGAAGATCTTGGCCTTCTCCCTATTCTTTCTCCAATAACAGTTCTTGTGTTCTCAGACAGAGGCTGTAACCTGCAGCAGATGTGGCTTCACCACGTGGTATTTCTAAATGAATGTGAAACTGATTACTTTTAGACTGAGCACTCACTTTTTGATCTCCCCAGCCTTCCCTATGGTCTAATATGGATCATATCATACATTTCTCAGGGATACAACTATGAATAAGACAGACTCCCTGTACTTGTGAAGGTAATACTTCAAGGCCTAGTGCAAACATCACCTCCACTGAGGCCTCCTAAGCATCACAGACAGAATGAACCACCTTTTCCATAGCACTTTTATCGTGAGTTCAGGCTCTATCACACATATTATACTTAGTTGGGTTATGTGTCTTCCTCCCCACAGCCAGATAGCTCATCAAGGCACCAAGCCCATCTTTGTCCTCTTATACTTCTCCTATTTTGAGGGCCATTGGAGATGTCTGTTCCCATCAACATTTATGACAGCAGAGGCTATGTTTGGGAAAACCATCTTACATCTGTCCAGCCTCATGAAATCATGCAACGGCAGCAAACCATTGATTCTACATTTCCTAGGCACTCACTATATGCCAAGTGCCAGTCTGGCTGGAGGAGGATGAGTAGGCAATGGAATTAGCAAGTCACATTTATTTTTAATGTAATGTCTCCCAGTTTGATTATCTGGAAACTGTGATTATTATGGGTTTTTGTAAACAAAAACAAAGTTCACCACGACAAGCCCATTCTAACTAAAAAACAAAAAAAAAGTAACTGGAGAAGGTAAAAATTCCATTTGTAAAATCATTTTATTGGTATAAATATACATATGAATAAAATCCCTTCAACCTGTAATGTAAGTGAGTATTTGTGAAATGTCTTAAAAAGAGTGATTTTTTTTTTTTACAGGGGTCAAAGTATTCTCTCATAAAATCACACATTAAAAGCTAATATGCAGACAGAAATTAAAGGCCTTCAAAAAAAACCAAATATTCATAAAACCTCATTCCAATCAACTATATACATTAATCTGGGCACGTGGTAGAATCAGCTGGGGGCCTCTTTGATGCTGTTCTTCACTGTGCTTAGTTGATGTTATGCGAAGGTCACGGTCCAAGCTTTACATGTACAATTTCACATCAGGAAGGAAGAAGTTCCCCATGGGAGAATGTAAAAACCATGATCTTATATATAATTTATACAAGTTATTTATTAGTGTGCTCTGTTAATATAATTACAATGTGCAATTGCATACGTCAAGAATAAATTGCTGTATCATGTCATCTGCAGATCCGACACAAGTACATTCAGCAGTACTCAACACAGTCTGCTGGGTGGCATTTCCTTGTGTGAGAGTATGTCCAGTTACTTCACTGACCTCCCAAAACTCCTCCGGCAGGGCAATCTGTAGCTGCCGCAGAGAAATTCAAGTAGGGCCCATGGAATAATTGCTGGCTTTCATTGAAGGCATATGAAGGAATGTTTAGAAATCAAATGCCAAGGCTTAGGGGAAAGTGGGGAGGAGACCAAACAAATGTGCTTTGATTGCCTAAGAAATGGATTTTTCTATACTCAAAAAAAAAGGGGGGTGGAGGAGAAAAGGAAAGAAAGCACCAAGAGAAGTGTGCCTAGGAAGAGGCGTTGCCCTCAGTCCTTCTCTAATGGCTAACAAAATCATCACGCAAATGAGACGCTGGCATGGGCGACCTTTACACAAAAATAAACTCTTTTTCTGCTTCTTCCCCAGAGTCGCTAGACTTGCTGCTTTGATGCCCATCTTTGCTAGATGACTGTTGCTTTTGTTCTTGATATTCATGGAACTGCTGACCCCAGCTTCTCCTTGAAACTGAAATAGAAAAGTAAGGAAGTCATAGAATTTATTGACAAGATAATACCAGTGGCCTGGCCAATAATGGGGTGAGGTGCAGGGGCCTTGAAAAGTGGGGGGTTCGGGATAAGTTTCTTGGAAACAACTTACCAATGACGTTTAGTGACTCTAGACAGAAATTAGACACGGAACCACAAAAACAGAAGCAAATTTAAGAAAGACAAAAACAAAAATACCATAGGCTGTCTATGAAAGGCGAAACTCTCATAGATGTGATCAATACCCTGAGGGGGAGAACCCCAGAGGGTGCGGACACTGGGGGAGCAGAGGAGATGGCTAGGAAAGAGGAGCACTCTGAAGCTGTGCTGCACCAGGTGACCTCCTCAATCACAGCCAGCCCCTTGCTCAGCAGAGAGAACAGGACAAACATAGCCTTGAGGAGGCACTGGCTGGATGGACGTTCTGTTTGACGCCTTCTGCAGATGACTTATGGTTGGTCATCCCTGCTTTCAGGACAGGATACAAGGAAAGACCCCAGGAATCTTTGTCAGACTGGTCTGTGTCTCATAAAACCTCAGCTCCACTCTCTAGGATATTTTAAAGTCTTATGCAAATGAGTTAAATATTGCCTGTGGTAGATTGAGTCCTTTTAGAGCCAACCTCCAGGTAAATTATTGTTGCCTGTTCTGACTACATATAAATACGAAGGCGCCACTGAGATTTTACAAAGCAAGGATGGGAGGATAATTACTATAAATGAGCCCTTATTACGTGTCAGGTACTCTCTGTATTATTATTGCCACTCCTCACAACTACCTATAAGGTAGGTTTTGCAAAACTTGGACCCACTGCCGTTGAGTCAATTACAACTCACAGCAACTCTATAGGACAAAGCAGAACTGCCCCATATGGTTTCCAAGCAGCAACTGGTAGATACGAATTGCTGACCTTTTGGTTAACAGCCGAGCTCTTAACCATTGCGCCATCAGGGCTCCTTGTAAAACTTGGAACCAGGATTTAAAACTAGGTTTGTTCTCCAAAGCCCATGTGCTTTCCAACTAGATCACAGGTTCACTCCTACTCTACCTTGGGAAAAGGTTCAAATGGTGTACTCTGGCACAGCTAGTAAGGGCTATTAAATATTACTCACCAAGTCTTATTGTATAGACACCACTTAAGCTAAAAATATCACACACACAGTTTACGTGGCTTGAAAAGAAGTGCAGTGCTATCATCATTTAGAAGTTCAGATGTTCTAACCAGGAACACAGTGCTTCAGTCCTGGAAAACCTACAGGATTCATTTGATACTTCTAAACATTTTGATTTTAGGAGTCTGCTAAAAAAAAAAAGTCATCTTTCTAGGAGCTGGCTATTTAAATGTTTAACCCACTCAGAGTGTTTCAGGAAGTGAAAGCTCACTAAACCTCACAGTCAAAATGCAGACATAATAAAGTACTTCCCTTGCCAATTTGGTTGTCAGGGCCAGATTCTGACTGCTACACAATAAAAATTTAAATTTTTAGTTAATGATATTAAATTGAAATTACTTCAAATTCTGCAAAGAATAAACTTTCTAAATCTCATCATAAACGCAATTTTTCAAAATTTTGGCTTCTTTTTACCCAACAGCTTTAAGCAAATTCTCAGGGGGGTGAGGGGGCGGGGAGGAATGCAACAAATAAATATTATAATTGATTTGTATTTTTCAGCTTGCTTTTACATTAAAAAAAATAAATGAATTTATATGATTAGTCCTTGGAAAATTATTAATAACCCAGGCATTTGGAAAAAAAGGCAATTATGTCCTAGTAAGTATTTTGCCCTTTATCACAAAACCTATTTGATAGTAGTACACAAAGAATCCTTTAAGTTCTTAATTCTATTTATTATAAGAATAGGGTGAAGTAGAGAAGATTTATAATATCATCATCTTAAAGACACTTTGCAGTAAATCTAACCTCAAACTATAGCATTACTAGAGGTATCCGCTAGAAAAATCTTCTTTCGTTCAAACCAAAATATGTTGTTTCTCTATATCAAATGACTCAAAAATAAATTTCCAACACTCCAGGCTCAAGGGAAGAAATAAATACATTGCCATTTGTCTCTCAGAGCAAATATATTTACTCTAGTTCTTAAATTTAAAAAATGATAGAACGTTTCATCCTTGTCAATATTTTAGCTTCTTGAAATCTCAAGTCTAATTCACGTTATGTGACATGGCATCTGAGTACTCTCTAAAAATAAGGAAATTCATGCAACCAAACATATTTATATCACAGATAAATGGCCAGGGTCATTCCAGGAGGTCTGATTAAAATTCAGAGAAATCCCATATAGGAGTCTTCCTGCATAAAGCAGACTGCCCTTCGGTCTCCATTCAAGTGTTGATTCTCCGGAGTCACTGACACTGTACTTCTGGGTCCTCCAGTGCTGGATGAGGTCTGGGGAGGTCTAACGCAAACATCCTCAAGTTAACAAGCTGGTTTCTCAGTTGGTTACACTGACCCAGTACCAGTTATGAAATTAAAATACACAATTTGTCCAACACAGTGACTAAAAAGAATAATGACATGTTCTTTCTAAAGAGCTGTCAAAACCTTTCACTATGGCTTGTGACACTATTTCAAGATCCATTCTATACTCTACCAATTGCGAATGTGAATATGTTAACAACTCTAGTACCAGGTTGACATTTTCCTTAGCATTGTGGGTAGGCACCGTTCTCAGATAGGAAAACTGAGGCATAGTGAGAGCAAGGAACTAAAGTCACTACTAATGCAGTTGAGCTGGAAGCCAAAACACCTAGGTCTTCCAGTCTCTTGCCTTATTAGTCAGACCACTAGTGTAACAGCTTTGTAGGGAGAATGTTCTTTGTCACGTTTACGTTACAGCCCTTATGAAACATAATTTGATTGCATATAATTAGGATGCTAATTATAATTATATTGACGTTGGTTTGGTAAAGCTTCCATTAGTGGATGGTCCAAATAGGATTATGTCTGTTTGAAAATTAAAACTCCAGAATTTATTTTAAAATATTTATAAAACTCAGATTTTCTGCTAATTCAGATGGATTTCCTCCTAAGGCAGCCTGATTTAATACAGGGCAAAAAAAAAATCCGATCTTTTACTACACTTCTTCAAGTATTTGTATGCACAGTTCAAGTGCTAGAGTATCTATATATGTCTCTATACATGTATTTATTACCACTCCCTGTACCACTGAAATTAATTTATAAAAGGTACTCAAGTAAGTGAATAGGTCATTTACTCAACACAAATACTCTATGAAAATTAATTTATAAAAGGTACTCAAGTAAGTGAATAGGTCATTTACTCAACACAAATACTCTATGAAAATTCATATCCCATGTATTGAGGCAATAGTTGGTACAGAAAGGCTCAAACATGAAAGCTGTCATTCTTGAAGATTTGACTTTGCATATGCACATATATATTATAATTTTAATGCTTCTGAAAAATGCATATAAATTCTGATTTAGAGATTCATATGAAAATTTGAGCTCTTCTCCATTTTAAGTCCACTGACATCCATCCATTTCCTCTTGGGAAAAGGAGGAAAACATTATGATGACCTTAAAATATATTCCGTAGCTGGCCTTGATTTTTTATACTTTTCTGGCAAGAGCCAAAAATGCCAACCAACTGTTAAATTTCTCTTGAAGAACTCATGTAGGGAAAGTGGAACCATGATCTGGTGGAAAAAGAAAGAGCACTGGCTTAGACTATAAACCACAGCCAAGGATTTGTTGGCTACAGGTTAGATTATGGAAAAGGTAAATGATATATAAAAGGAATCTCAGAATCAGACAGCCTGGATAAATAAGATCCATTGCAATGCATACAAAAATCAAAGCCAAATGCATACAAAGTCTCTTCAAGAAAATAGGTTATATGCTAATTAAAACATCACAGCATACAATACAGACAGGAAATGATATGGAATTCAAAAGATGCAGTTACAAATACTCCAAGTAAAAGAAAGTAGTAAGCATTTCACCTGTCAAATCAACATTAAAATAGCCACACAACTAAAAGAGGATAATCATGAGAAAAATATGCAGCATGATTTGAGAACAATAGCCTCTGTTTCACAAATACATGATTTGGGAAAACAAGAAAGCTGTTTTAGGGTAAACAAAGTTGCTCTTAAAAGACTTAAAGTAAAATAAACACCATGGTTTAACAGAATTGTTCTACTAAATGCTAGTTGTTACCCAGAACTATTTAGAAAGCAGACTGCTATGCAGTTCTCAAAGGTGAAGACAGTTAAGTGGTAGGAATCGGCACTAACAAAAGAAAATTAAATTATACATAAAAGCAATTTAATTGAAGCTCCTGTAAAAACCACTTTTTGGGCCTGTTGGGATGTCAAGAACGCAAGGTGGACAGCAAATACAAGATGGTCCTATTTAATTCCATCAAAATTTGACACAGCTCTTCACAATGAGAATTGTAAGCCAAAGAGGTCACAGAGTTGTGGGAAAATATGAGACACAGACTTCTTCTCCTTGCCTGTCTATGATTTGGCTCATCTCTGTGCTTGCTCATTCTCTTTCTACTCTAATTTAGTGTCTTACTGAATGATCACTGTGGTATTGGGGAATGGGCTCTGAGCCTACTGTATAAAGTGCTTTTAATAGCCTCTTAAAGAAGAACCATTATTATCAAGGATGCTTTGGTTAATAATCAAACGATGTAAATCAACTGATACAGCACTTCAAATGTAAATTTCCAGAATCTATAAACATCTATATAACCGGGGGTGTTCTTATCAAGAGGCAATATATATAGAGAGTTTCTAATTTAATACATTCTCAAAAATAACTCTACCTCTTCAGAAAATACATGTCTTAGGTTCTCATTTATGCAACTTTTCTATGACTTGAAGATAACAGTTTTTTTTTGGCAATATCAGAGGAAATGTCTTCTTCGAGAGAATAGCTGTTATAACTGTTTGTCTATAAACAAGTCTACCATACAGGAAATCCTTTAAAAATGAAGGGCCAACTCAGTTTGTGTTTTCAAGGGCAGGTGTTACCTGACCCAAACAATGTTATATCCCTAAGTGATGTATAGACTTTGCTGTATGCTGTGGGTTATGTCCTTAACTCTATCCTATCATCTAGCTAGTATGTGCTAGGACATCAGGCAAGTCTGAGAGCATGGCTCAGTCAAAAACATAGGTCTAGAAGGCTGGCTCCAAATACTGCTAGTGGGAAGCTGATAAATGCTTTTTGGTTGCTGTTGATTTTGTTTTTAAATCTATGTCAAGTAAAGTTCTTAAAAACAGTAGTTCCCACTTGATACATTATTAACTCATGGGGCTGTTAAGTTTGAGGTGGGCCACGAGAGCTTTCTTATCAATAATAAAGTGAGAAAGTTTGAAAATGGTCTATCCTTTTGCAGCTGGTCAATGCACTTCGTGAGCAGCCACTACCATCTGGAGGCTTCTACACTGCTATGATGCTGAGCAAGTTTTAGTAGTGGTTCCAGGTTAATATGAACTAGGTAGAAAGGCCTGGCAACGTACTTCTGAAAATCAGCCAATGAAAACCCTATGGATCACAATGGCCCAATCTGCAACCGATCATGGGGATGGTGCAGGACCCGGCAGCATTTTATTCTGTTGTGCATGGGGTTGCCATTAGTTGGGGGCCAAATCAATGGCAGCTAACAACAACATCCTTCCAGTAAGGTCTCTCCCATTTACTTGTATTCTGAGATGCTTTCTTAAAAGGCAGTGAAGGGCGTGGAGTTATAGCAGAATGCTGGGCCATCCATATAATCCCTAGGAGCCTAAATACACTCACATTGTTGTTTGCTGCTGTTGAGTTGATTCTGACTCATGGCAACCCCATATGTGTCAGGGTAGAACTGTGCTCCATAGGGTTTTCAATGGCTATGTATGACCTTTTAGGAGAAGATCACCAGGGCTGTCATCTGAGGCACATCTAAGTGGGTTTGAACCACCAACCTTTTGGCTAGGAGTTGAGTGCTTAACTATTTGCACCACCAAGGGACTCCAACACTCACATTCCCAACATTCACATTAATCCCTGATAAATTAAAGTTTTACAGTAAGAAAACAGTCTCATTTCAAGGGCAGGAGTCCTTTAACAAAATCTCACATATTAAAATATTTGATATTCTTAGTCACAGAATAGTGTCAGCAACACTTGTTCCAAAATTTCCCATTGGAGGTTAAGCTGATTTGAAATCTGTCTCCTTTTGTCTCTTGGGACTTTTACTCTTACCTGAAGAGAACATTATAGAATTTACTATAGTGTCAAATGGAAGATACAAGGCAGAGAGGAACTGCTGTAAAATAGAATAAATCGATCCTAAATGTTGAAAAGTTAACTGATACTTTTTCTTTCTCACTAAGGGTCATAAAATATCCACTGAAAGATATGTACATGACACAAGGTCTGCATCTAGTTACTGGCTTTTCATTGATCCTTTTCTAAAACAGTGTAAGATGTTAGGCCAATATTCTCTAAGGGCATAATCGGTGCTACTCAAAGAATTTCTGATTTAATTTTAGTTAAACTTTAACAGAAGAATAAAGATATAAAGGAAGAGAATATGATGTCAAATATAAAAATAAACCTGCAAAATCACAAAAACTTGAAAGGACAAGTCACTCTACTCCAAAGTAACTTGGTCCTCCTCAAAAGAATTTCTAATTTTAGATTTTTAAGTTTTCATGTCAATATTTTTTGCCCCAAATGGAAGGACCATCCTGTTGCCATACAGAAAAAAAAAAAAAAAAAAAAATCTGTTCTATGAATAATCCTTAGCCCAGTCCCAGGTTGGAAGTTACTCAATTAAAGTTCCATTTTGTTAGTGCCAGTTCATAAGCTTTAGATCAGTGAAGGATGATAATCGAAGGCTCTAACCATTTGTTGGCTGTGACTTCCTGTGCCCAATTGCATTCACTTCCTCTTCCGCAATGGTAGAGTACAGTTTTGAAGATCTTTTCCCTCTACTGGAAGGCTTGTCATTGTCGTGATCTGAATTTCTTTTGTAATAATATCCTCTTTGCACTACTGAGGAAAAGGGATTCAATTTACCCTTTATATTAGCAAAGACATAAATGTGTTGACATTAATATAAAAAAGATAGTAATATTAAAAGTTAAATATCGTCTTACCCACCCCATTTAGGATTCAAGGGACCTGCTGTATTGGTCCTGGGCAGAACCACCATTATCTACAGAATTCGACAGCCAACATTATGGAAATGTGCAAAATGAGGTGAGCTTTGAGTCTGCCCCAAAAAGGTTCTAACAAAAAAGCCCGTGTTACCATTTTGATTCCACGATGGATTAATGGAAATCACATTCACGATGGAATAGTCCAGAAGAATCACAGTAATTTACCTGTTTCAGAAATTAGTTGGGCATGCTAGTCCAAAGGGAGGCACAGAACAAGGAAATGGAGTAACCAGCGTGAATAATGCACAAGAAAATAGGAAAGAGTACATGAGGAACACTTTATATATAAAGAAAAGACAGGGCTCATAAGCGGCTGTTATTTCTGGGTCACCTTAGTGGACAAGCTGATAAACAAATTGAAGTCACAATCTCACCACCTTAGACATTTACAACCTGTTCTCAGACCTTGTGTATATTTTCAGTTGAACTTCAGTACAAAGTGATACCATCAGAATGATCTCTGATTAGCTTACTCTGGACCCCAGAGGTAGAGTAAATGTTCTCCATAGTTCCACAGCCCCTACCATCCAACTGGAAAGATGGTGGCATGATCTATTCTTAATATTTGCTATTGCGGGCAGGGAGGGAGGCAATTAAATGTCTACCGCTGAAGCAACTCGTTCTGTTTTATTTCTTATCTTCCAGGGAAAGAAAACACAACTTTTCACAGCAGCTAAAGGCACACTAGTGGCATTCTGTGTTTTACCCACTTAGTTAACCCTCAGAAGGTCCACGATACACATTCTTACTCTAGAGGCTGGGGGGTTACTCTACGCCTTGTTTTGATCATCTATAGGCATCTAGAAAACATCATTTTCCAAAACTGTTAAACAATTATTTTTAATTCAACCTTCTGATGTTTTTAAAAAAAATCCTTCAACATTTTAGTTGCTTTAGACAAAATGGAAGTTCCTACTTACCACTACTATCTCCTCCCTACCTCCCTATGTCTCTCCATTGGATTCTTTCAGACATTTTCAAAGCTTCCTTCTAAGTAAAGATGTAAGTAAGCCTTTGAGGGAAGGAGGAAAATGGACGGTAGGAGTGGGGGAGGGGCTTGTGGCCAGATCAGGGCTGCCAGAGGCACTTCCTGGGTCAGTTCAGGAACCACTAGGAGCTCTTCCTCCTACACCAAGACTTCCAAGGCTGTGACTGTAATACTGAGCCCTGTATTCATTTACTCCTTGTGAACTGACTACAGGTGCCAGTCACCACTGATGATTTCAGTTTCTGTTTGACAGGAGTGGTTTACTAGCTTTGGTCAAAACCCAGCTTCTTTTATTACTAGCCAATAGATGGCTATGAATAGGGAAGCGTGCACCCACCAAATAAATCTGCAGAATGTATAGAAGAAAGCAGGCAATGTTATTATTATTATTTTTTAATTAGACTCCCAAGACACAAAGGCAGTACTCAGAAACACTTTCTGTTGTCTTTAACCCGAGAATATTATTATTTAAAAATAAAAATAAAAAAGGATAATGTAGGAAGATGTCAGAGCCAGCAAGATCAAAGAATTCTAAAGTATTAAATACATCTAAAATAAAACCAATCAATCCCATGCCAGAATGAGAACCCTCTGGGAATGGGGATGCCTTGCATGGCTCTAGAATTTCTTTACAGGAGAAGCTTAGAGGCAGCATTTACATAACACTTCACTTAGAATAGAACCAAAAAGTCAATTGTGAATTTAAAACAACAGGCAAGGTGGATGAAAGAAATGGCTGGGGTACTGCAGCCACACCAACCACCTCTCACCTCCACTGATGCCCACTCTTGATCTGATTTAGGAGACAGCATTCAAGTCGTGGGATACTCTTGCTCTGCTCCTACTCCTGTAAACTAGAAGGAGCAAACTGGTGTGATGAGACCGTAACAGTGTCCATGCTGATGACACACATCTGAGAATGAGGAATGTTTGATCTCAAGACCGAGAGACCACAATGAGATACATGTTCTCTCAGGCCTGGGGACACTGCTCCTGAACCATAGTAAGGGTGCCTTACCACACTAGGGGAAGCTTTCCTGGGAAATACTGGGACCTAGAAATCTACAGGTAGGACCAAATTAGTCACAAAATAATTTTTAAGGAGCTCCTAGCATGTTGGCAGCCAGCTCAATAACATCTAGTAATAAATGCTATAAATATAAATAAATGCTAATAAATGCTAGTAGTAAAATAGCATTAGACCTTTGGGCTGGATGTCTGTATCAGTTATGTTTTTTGCTCTCTGTATATGGTTCTTCACTAAGATCCAATGTCATCAATAAAGTTGAATTGAGTTTCAGAACTAAGAAACCACTCTGGTTCTACAAATTTAATCTGAGGGATGTTGACTTAACCAAACTCTGAGATACCCATTAAGTTCAGGATTAATTCATTTTTCTTGAAATGATCCTCCTTAGGGTGAGAAGCAGCTCAGAGAAGACATTTCTTACCTTCCTGGGAAAACGTTCTAGGACTGGGCTGAGGGCTACTCTGGCCATCTCGCTCTTTGTCCGAAGGAACTTTTTTCAGGATGAGTGGAAGAAGAGCAACTTTAGGAGAACTAGGACCAGATGGAGAGTCTGGGATGTCCTCTGTGGAGACACAAACATGAATCAAACTGTTCTACAAACTGGGTTCCAAGAACATTAAATACAAAAAAAAGTATCATAGAATTTTTATGGCCAAAAATTAGTTTTATGTCTCTGCTCAGTGAAATAATATACACAAACAACAGAAAGAAAAATAATGAATACTCTATAAAAGGTTAAAATCTGCACAGATGGGAGTCTATCCTGCAGACACAGAATTTCAATGAGCTGATATTTGAAAATTAGATCTGTAAATGAACCAAATGTTCCTTCTGCCTCAGACACAAAAAATCCTGTAAATATGCAGTATTTACAACCCATCGCCTTTAAGTGCTATCAAATTCAGTGAAGTAGTCAAAATATAAACGCATATGTGTGTGTTTACATACTTACAAGTACATATATCAAGGTTATCAAGAATAACTTGGAATCATGGGCCTCTAGAACCAGAAAGGACTTGGTGATCACTGTACAAATGAAGAGATTAATTGACCTGCTAAACTAAGAAGATGGCACAACAGCTAGGAGTAGAACTCTAGTCTCTTAGTTCTAAAGCCAGTACTATTTCACTCTAATTAGAAGGACTAACTAAACTGTGCTCCTTTAAAGGAAAAATTCATTATCTCTGTTCCCTTACCAAAAAAGTAATTCTCAATTTGGCGTGTGTCCACATGCGTATGTGTGATGTGTGTGTGGTGTTGTGTGTTTGTGTGTTGTGTAGAAGACAACCTACACTTAGGCTCTCTTAGCCTTATACTTCCAATTCAAGTCTCCTCCTTGCTTTGCCACATAACCAGGGATGTGACAAGAATGACATATTGTGAAGATACCAACACCCCCAACCTTGACTACAATTGACAGAACTGTGGCGAGGAAATGCGATGGTGCATTTGAAAATGCTTGCTGAACTCACAAGTTCTATTAACCTAAGTCTCGCTATACTAAGCACTAAGAAATAAATGAGCAATTTTAGTAAATAAATTAAAATAAAAACTTCTTTCAATGGAATATTGGATATCCAGCTAGTTTTATATTCATCATTAGCAATGAGGGAGTCTAAATACTCTACCAACTAAATGATTAGACCCATTGTGTAAGAGTTGTTTCCTTACTTCAGAGAAGAGAACATAACTAGCTGACAATGCCAACAGCAAACCTTCTTTTGAGTAGTTATCATTGAATTTTTTTTTTTTAGTAAAAAAAAATTCTTTCTAAACTATTTTCTTTGCCTCTTTTCTCCCCACTCCTTCTCATATGAAGCTGTTTTGTTTGCTCCAAGGAAGATTTTATGTGCCTACCAGGAAGGACTTTTAGCTTGGTTTCTGAAAAAGACTGAGCAGGATTAGGAAGGACTTTGATCAAGTCCTAAGTGATTTGCTTCAAGGGTTAGTTCCCTGAGGGACTCTAACATACCCCTTTCGTTGTGCTTTTCTTTAGTCTGTGCACTGGGTTTCTAGAGGGACCAATGGTCTGTAAAGATGGATTACTGGTCTAGCTGGCTGCTAGGTGAACAAAAGAATGTATGACAGAAAATGGGAAAGATCCAGAAGGGGAATGAGTGTGGGCACAAGGGACTGCCTTTTTTCTCTTTCCACCCAAATCATCTGCGTACTGGTGAACTCCCATGATGCACTATGCATCCTAGTACATACACATGCCCAGTAGAAGAAGGTTGTGGAGTCCTATTACCTGGCTGCCACTCAGCAACTGTGTGACTTGGCAAACTTAGTATCTCTGTGCCTCACTTTCCTCAACTGTAAAATGGAGCCATACTGAGGATTTTTAGGAGTTTATCCATGTAAAGCACTTAGAACAGTGCCTGGAACAAGTAAGCATTTAATCAAGATTAGCTGTTATTATTATTGTAATTATGTGTATAATCTGACTATATATCTTTATCCTATTTGCCTAATTTTTGTAGGGGAATAATGCGTAGAGGTAAAGGGTTGATATGGGGGTTCATTATTATTATTGAGTCTACTTTTGTATGTGTTTGAAAATTTCTAGAATAGAATGTTAAAAAAGAAAAAAAAAAAAAAGAAGAAAACCTGGTAGGGAGGAGGGGCAGTTTCGGGAAAGAAGGAAAAGAACAAGGCAGAGCCTAATCCATCTCTAATGATTTTTAAGTTTTTTCTATCATAGGATTTTCTCACCCAAGAGTTAGTAAAAGGCCAGAGAGTAAATAATTTAGGCTTTGTGGTCATAATGATCTCTGTCACAACTTCTCAACCCTGCCTCTGTAGTGCAAAAGCAGCCATAGACAATTAAGTACGCACATGGCCGTGTTCCGGTGAAACCTTAGTTATAAAAACAACCCCAAAGTCTGCCAAGTCCTGTTCTAAACCCTTGATATTGCACAGAATCTGGGATAAAACAAAGGAATGTATGCTTTCCCCATTTATGGCCCTCATCCTTAAACATACAGCCTTTTCAAGGGCCTGCCTCCCTGGAGACAAGATTTCAGAAAACCGTATCAAGCACTGTGGCTGGGTCAACACAACAGGAGACTGACTTTCCTGTTTTCCCCTCCAATATGTACCCCTAAAGCAAGGACAGTCTCAGAGTCCCCAGCTCTCACACAGTGGGACTCAGTGTTGAATAAAAGAATCCCTCAGCCCTTGTCAGAGTCCCTGGGTGGCATAAATGATTAAGCACTAGGCTACTAGCCGAAATGTTTGGTGGTTCGAACCCATCCAGAGGCACCTCAGAAGAAAGGCCTGTCAATCTGCTTCCGTGTCACTTTCACAGCCTCTGGCAAGTTTCCCATGATCTCCTCCTGCAGAATCCCTCCACACATATGTTCGCTAAAAATCAAAACCAAACCCACTGCTGTCGAGTCTATTTCGACTCATAGTGACCCTACAGACAGAGTAGAACTGCCCCATGGGGTTTCCAAAGCTGTAAGTCTTTATGGAAGCAGACTGCCAAATCGATCTCCTGTGGAGCTGGTTGGTTTGAACTGCTGACCTTTCAGTTAGCAGCCGAGCACTTAACCACTGCACCACCGGGGCACATGTTCATTGCAACCTCAGAAACCATTCATGGAGCCCTGATCCAGTGGCTCTGGTGAAGTCACCTGGTCATGGTGACTCCTTGACCAGCAATAGCCTTACCTGGCCGTGCGGCGGTCCTTGGTTTCTGCGGGATGATAGGCCGGGATGCCAGGGTGGGCTTGGGGGACTGAAGAAGGGGCTTCAGGCTGGTGGGTGTGCTGGAAGAGCCCCGAGACCTGGAGCCCACATTCACTTTGGGTTCTGCTTTGGCATTTTTTTCTGGTGTTGCCAAACCGAAGCGGTTCTCTGGGAGACCTGGGGGCAGTTTGGGCACTAAAATAAAAATGGGTACAAAAAGTACACTTTACTTTAAAAATTGAAAGTCAAAGAAAATAATAATTTGAAGCTAAGGGAAATCTGGTGCAAAGTGCTATAATCATTTCTATTCAGTTCTCATCATAGATACTTTAGAACAGAATCAAAACATGCTAGTGGAAGATTAAAGTTATTTGCAGAAAAGCAATGAACTTGATGGTGCTGTTCTGATCACCACTGACTACTACACAGATGACAAGACTCACAGTTAATTGACCAGCTCCATAATAATGTACAAAGAAAACAGCAGTTCTTAATGCATTTGGAGCCTTTCAGATCTTTCTTGGTTCTGGCCTGAGGTACAGGAATAACCAACTGTTATGCGCCTCAGTTCTGGACAATAATCCATTAGAGCTCCAGCTGCAGACCCTGAGTGCTTGCAGAGGGCTATGTGACGGCCATCTCCTGGCTCCAGAAATGTCTTCCTATCCCCGCCTCCATACTTATCACTGCCTTAACTTAATCAGACTACCGGCAAAAATAAGCAGGTTAAATATGATTTACATTCCAACTCTCAGTGCATGAATATACTAAAACTAAGCATGAGAACGTCAAACAGCAAATCGAGGTTTTGACCATGCAATTTACACGTCACTCTCTAGTATATCGTATTCAGTACACCCAAGAAGTTGGAGAGCCAAACAAAAGAGCCACCATACCACATACGACGCATGGCTTATTTTTAAAAACATCAGCCATGTCCCCACCTTTTTGTCTCTCCTTAAAAATGCCCACAACTTGGGAGTTCATCTCATTAAAAAAATAATCAGAATTTCCTCCATTTGGGAAATCAGTAAACGTGCCCTGTCCAGGCACAGGTAATAGTGGTGGGAGATGTTCTCCCAGGTGGAGCGAGGTGAGGCACAGGGGTGAAAGCCGAAAAAACACACAACACAGAGGCCCATTCTTGCCTCTCCATCTTTAACTTTCTTCTTTTAATCATGTGCTATTCATAGAACCAAAACGTAAGTGTTTTTTCTAAGGGGTGGTGGGCAATGGCCTGACTTACCAGCCCCACTTCCATCCAACCATTCCATGCTGCTCAAGGACAGGGCAGAAGCATCCTGGGAGATGGCATCATTCCCAAGTTTCTAAAAAATTCAAGCACCACCATTGGTAAAAAAGTACATTTATTTAATGTGGAAGGGGAGAAAAAAAAAAGAAAAGAAACGACAATAAATAATGGCTCCCTAACTCTACTGCTGTTATGCAGGCTAGGTCTGAACCATCTGGGTCCCTGAAGCTCTCCTGCTGGGACAAAGCTTGAGAAAGGGATTCTGTTCTGTGTTTATTTATAGTCCTGGATCTGGGGTCCAAAGTGTGGCCAGTTCTCCAGAGACTCCCACAGATCAGACGTGTGTGGGTTCAGGGGAAGCCATGGGCTTGGTGACATTTCCTGTTTTCTTGTTGACACCTAGGGAGGTTTGTAACCTCTGGTATTCCACGCCTCCCCAGGTGCCGTGATGGGGGTGCTTACACTCTAAAAATTTACAGAACCCTCTCTAGGTTTGGTTTCCAATAATCAAGTTTTAAAAGCAGCAACCTTTCCAACCTCAATGTGTGAAAGAGGTGTAAGCGGGGCTGAAAGAGGCAGGGTCTCCCTTGAACTGAGGCAGCATGGCATGACACAGATCTATTTCTTAAAAGGCAAATACAGATGAAATGGCATAGGAAGGCATGAATTAAAAAAAAAAAAAAAAAAAGCTCAGGTGGATTGAGGTTGTGATGGCAAAGACAGAGAAGGGTATATGCCGCCATTTTAGGGCAGCAACTGACATAGCTAGGTATTAGCCTCTTCCCTGGATAAGTTATGGCACAGAAAGTCCGTATTAGAATGAGTTGTATAGATAAAAAACAAAAACCAAACCAGATGCCGTTGAGACAATTCCGACCCATGGCAGCCCTGTGTGTTACAGAGTAGAACTGCTCCATGGGATTTTCGAGGCTATGACCTTTTGGAAGCAGATTGCAGGATTTTATTCCACGGTGCCTCTGGATGAGTTTGAACTGTCAATCTTTCAGCTGGTAGTTGAGTGCTTAACCATTTGCTTGCAAACAGTTTGCACTTGACTACTAACCTAAACGTTGGTGCTTCAAACTCAAACAGTGGTGCTGCAGAAGAAAGACCTGGCAATCTGCTTCCATAAAGATTATAGCCAAGAAAAGGCCATGGAGAAGATCTACTCTGTAAAACATGGGGCCACCATGAGTTGGAACCAACTTGACAGCAACAGGGATTAGATACAAAGAAGATATGAAAAGTAAAGTCGTGTGCTTCCTTAATCATGCTGACAGATCCTACTGACAAAGATGATCCACATCTCCCTCCTGTCTGAAAAATAAAAATGAGGTGGGCAGGTAGACCAGCAGGACCAATGATGCTCCTAAGGCCTTTTGTCTACTCATTCCTGCTCATCTCGTGTTTCTGAGAAACCTAACAAGTGAATAATCCACTGCTAATTCCTCATTTTAAATGGTTTTGATGACGTTGTTGTTGTTGGGTGTCTTTGCGTCAATTCCGATTCACAGTGACCCTGTGTGACAGAGTAGAATTGCCCTAAAGGTTTTCCTAAACTATAATCTTTTTAGAAGCAGACCTCCAAGGTCTTTCTCCTGAGGAGCTGCTGCTGGGTTCAAATCGCCAACTTTTGGTTTAGCAGCTGAGCGCTTAGTCACTGCACCACCAGGGCTCCTTTCTGATGACATCCCATTGCCATCGAGTCAATTCCAACTCATAGTGACCCTACAGGACAGAGCAGAACTGCCCCATAGGGTTTCCAAGCAGTGGCTGGTAGATTCTAACTGCCAACCTTTTTTGGTTAGCAGCCATAGCTCTTAACCACTGTGCCACAGGGCTCCTTTGATGGCATAGGAGAGCTTCTTTGAAATGTTATTGAGATCTGACTCATTTATGACATGCTCCCATCTGCCACGGCCACCCACACATGCACAGGAGTGCTCTACAGAAGGAAGCACTGACCACGGCAGAGATGCTGAGAATCATGCAGCGAGGCCACAAAAGTTCCACTCTCACCAGTGAAGGGTGCTAGCAGGTCTCCGAGAAGAAATATGTACACAGCCACCGCAACTAGAACGGGCACATTATCTGGCATCACTATGGGGAAAGTGAGCCTGAGGGAAGGAAGCCCATGTCATGGGCTGCACACAGAACCCTCTGTGCCTAAACAAGTGTCTGCCACCAAGCCCCAGCCAGGACCAGCAGAGGATGCTTTAGTCCATGAGCTGGAGCTGTCTGGAGACGGGGCCTGGCCAGACCTCAAGTCCATAGTGCTTGGTCCTGGCCTTTTACAGCCTACTAGAAGGCAAGGTGCCCCCTGGTGGCACAGTGGTTAAAAGCTCAGGCTGCTAACCAAAAGGTTGGTAGCTGGAATCCACTAGTCGCTCCCTGTAAACCCTATGGGGCAGTTCTACTCTTGGGTCACTATGAGTCAGAATCAACTTGACGGCAGTGGGTTTGGTTTTTTAGAAGGCAGAGGAGTGTGTGTTCTGTGCCCAGACAAAAATCATAACGCAAAATACTGAAACAGGGCCAGGACTGTTGTTGTTGGGTGCCGTCAAGTTGATTTTCAACTCAGAGTGACCTCGTGTGACAGAGTAGAACAGCCCCATAGGGTTTTCTAGGCTGTAATCTTTATGGAAGCAGATTGTCAGGTCTTTTTCCTGTGGAGCCGCTGGGTGGGTTTGAAGTGCCAGCCTTTCGGTTAGCAGCTGAGCTCTTAACTGCTGCGCCACCAGGGCTCCGTTGGCCAGGACTAGGGTTCACCAGTTGAGGCCCCACAGGGCACAAAACTTATGGCGACCCTCACTTTCAGGCTCATGCAAGTGCAGGGCCGGCACCTGAGAGTGATCCTAACTCATAGTGACCCCGTGTGACAGAGTAGAATTGGGTGAAACTGGGTGCCCTGGGCGCTTAGCTTGCTGACCTTTTTTTTTTTAATCCTGGAAGTTTTTTTTTTTCTTCTTCTTCTTTTTCCTCCCAGGCTTCTAGAGGCAGTTCTAAACCCCCACAATGATTGTGCGGACTAAGGTAAAATAATGTCAATGTCATTGTGTGCCTGCAACTACCTAGATGGTATCTAGAAGAAAAGATATGACCTTTAAGCACTCAATACCTGTTCTACTCCTTTGTTAATAAATGATAAATGTCATATCTTTATTTTCTTAGTTCTTCTTTAAATACACATGAATAAGGAGCCCTGTGATACAACGGTTACACACTCAAGTACTAACTGAAAGGTTGGCAGATCAAACCTACCCAGTGGCTCTGTAGGAGAAAGACCTGGCGATCTGCTCCGTAAAGATTACAGCCTAGAAAACCTTATGGGGCAGTTCTACTCTGTCACATGGGGTTGCTATGAGTTGAAACTGACTGAACGACACCTGACACCAACAAATGTGAATAACGTAAAGAGAATTATTCAAGGAGGGTGAAAACACCATATGTATACATATCTTTTATCAACAGTATATTGACCACTGTTGCTTAGGCTGCTAATTTTACAAAGAACACAACTGTGGCACTTTGGGGGGAAAATCATAACGCTAATAAAAATTTTTTTTTTTTTTATTATTTATTGATCTGATGGAATACCCATGATTGATCTGATTTAAAATACTGAGTTTTTAGGATTGTTGTTGTTTTAAACAGACACTAGAGGGAGCAAAGGGATCATCAGTCTAAGCCTTGAACAAATACAAATACTAAACAATAAGCATTGTGTCACTGAGCTAATTTACACATCAAATCCAAAGCACATGGGAAAAAAAACCCTTTAGCACTTCTCTTCCCACCAAAGCGCAGCTTCTCATTGCTGGAAATTGTGATAAACTAAAGAGCTCATTAGTGAAAACAGCACATTCCTTGTTGTAAAAGAAAATGCCATAAAATGGCTTAAAGTTTATACATTTACCTGGGCATCTGAATCACCAATAGTGTGGTAAAAAACAAAACAAAACAAAACAAAACAAAACCTGTTGCTGTCGAGTTGATTCTGACCATAGCAACCCTAAAGGACAGAGTACAACTGCCCCATAGGGTTTCCAAGAATAGGCTGGTGGATTTGAACTGCAGACCTTTTGGTTAGCAGCCAAGCTCTTAACCACTGTGCCACCAGGGCTCCAATAATACTGTGGTAGTAGTATTCATTCAGAGTTTTGAGCAGTGAAGGCCACATCATGCTTCCCTTGTTAAGTTAGCAGAATACAGCTATCTAGTTGCCCTCTCCCAGCTCTTCTCTGACAGTTAATGAGTGAGTTAGAAGGAATCTGTGACTAGCAAATTGCTGTATAATGTTAGTGCTGACAGTAGACCCATGGTGAACAGCTGTAAAATAATGTAGGATGCAGGAGTTGATGGAAACTAATTAGTTGTTTAAAGGTAATATAAAATAGCCCTCCATACCTGGCACATTGTTCACTATTTACGTTCTGAAAATCAAAGTCAAAGGTTCATTGGCAGGGGAGCTGTTTTTTTTCTGATATTTCAAATAAAATAGATGAGGAATTTTCCATTCGTTGCAGAACTCAGTTTTTAAAAAGAAAAAGAGCTCAGGATAATGCATAGAAAACAAAACCTGGGCAAACAATGGGTATATAATATTAATGGCAGCAAATAAGGATGCAATCCTTCAAGTAGCTATAGGAATAAACAGAGGTAAAAAGAAAAAAAGACACTTTATATTTTAAAAGGAGGTTCAAAGAATAAATAATGATTTAAAGTCAGATTTTGGAAGCACTCATCAACTTTTATATTGTCCTATGAAGTTTTTCATGAAGATGGCACAGGACTAGGCAATGTTTTGTTCTATTATACATAAGGTCACCTAGAGTTGGAGCCAACTCAATGGCAACTGACAACAACATGGTTTTTCTTTATGGCAACAGACAAAATATACCAATGATCAAGTATTTAATAAATTCTAACAGAATATCTTGACTCTTTTTTGGGGGGGCCTTTTTAAATTTGGAGTGCAGCAAAAAAATTTTAAGTTAAAAAAGACAATCATGCAATAACTGAAAAACAGATCTGCCTTTATATGGTTATAATCTGGCTTCAATATTTTCATTTGCCTGTCCGTTCTATCTCCAATCACCTTAGGACCCCATTTGGATTCAGTTGACTCAGTCTTTCCCCAGATCTGAGTGTTTCCCCAGAACAGCTCTCACTAAACAGCTCATCAGTGACACTCACAGAAGGCATCTGGGCAGGTGGGAAAAGGCCAGTGTGCTCTCAGCCTATGACCTGTCTTCATATGCTGTAGCTCTCTGGAAGAAAATGACCCTAGTACCAAAGTGAAAAACACACAGCCATTCCATCCTGGGCCATGCTCCTGGTCCTTTAGGAATAAATATTTTGTTTTGGATTTTCATTTGGCCAACAGGCTATCTTTCTGTACCACCCTTGCCCATAAAAAAACAAGTGAAGGCAAAAACACAATGACAATCAAGTTAAAATGGACTATCCCTTACCTTCTGTGCACAAGCAGCTCTCCTCTCCTGCTTGGCTTTCATCTCTGCCAGCAGACCACTGCCCATCACCTGGACCCCATATTTTTGCCCGCCCTGGGGGCTGCTCTTGCTGTCACTCCGCTCCACCTTCCCCATTTCTTCCACTTGGCCCTCTTCAAGGGAGTCAGGTGTTTTGATCTCCTCTATCCGTTCAGAACTGCCATTGTGCTCTGCTGGCTTCATGTCCTTCCTGGCTGTGTCCACAGCTGGACTTCTCCCTCCCCCTTTTGGTGATGAGGGTTCTTCGCTCATCAAGACAGTTGGTGGCCGCTCGGATTTAGATCGAGATTTGATTAAATTGAGAAAGCCACTTTTCCGAGAATCTCGCTTTTTCTTTTCATCTCCTCCTTCACTAAGCTCGTGGGACTCTGAGCCTCTTGATGACGATCTCCTGCAATACAAACCAAGACAGAAACTGCTGGCTTTTACTACCATAGGTTCTAGCAGGAATCCTTCAAAATATAAACATGGAGATTGCAGTAACTATGCTGGAACATTTTAAAAAGTTGATTGAAGTTATTGCACCAAGAGATAAAGAGGAACATGCAAAAGTATCACCATATCCACAGATGAGAAAATAAAGGCACACACAAATTAAGGATGAGAATCTGAAGATGCCAGTGGTAGGTCTGGGAACAGAGGATTTTTTTTTTTTTTTTTTTAAATGCTCTAGTCATTTTTTTAAAATGCTCTCTACTTGTGACAACTACAAACAAAGGTGGTTTCACTCAAGACACAGGTGGGTGACTTACCTTATTTAATTTGGGGGATACTGGAAAGGGCCAGATTTCTCATAACCCCTTAGCAATCATTCCATAGTCACTGAATAGTATCTGAAAGCCCACTCTTGGTGCCCAATCTAAACGAAGATTTGGGTCCTTGCTTAAATGTAAAGCCACTGAAAGAGGTAACCAAATGAAGACACAGAGAGTGAGCTTTGGTAGAGGGTGGTCAGAAAGAGAATACTCACAAATTTGGGGAAATCAATGAAGAGAAAGAGTAAATGAAATGGACTACACGGGAGGTATCCCAAACAACCCTTTCATTAAAGACGGCAGATTGAACACCCATTTTAACTCCCCTGAGTCCCCATTAACGTGACAACAAGGGATTAAACAACAACAACAACAAAAGTATAGGCCCACAGGACAGAAAAGACCAAACAATAAATTTGGAAGCCAAAATAGTTACGAGTGATAACTGACTTAATAGCATCAATAAAGCTGAAGCCTAAACCACGAGGGAGAGCTCAAGAAGCAAGCCAATTGGCACTGTCTCAAGAATTAGAAGCAACAAGCACCTTTGGAATTAGAAGTAAAGGTGAGGCTAAAAGGAAGATGACTAGTTGAAAGCTGATTTAAGAAACTACGAAATCCTCTCCTCAAGCCAGAGCTAGATGACTGTTCCCATTCCACCCCAGGTTTACTCTCTGAGGAGGGTGGATCAAGAAACTCTGAGCTGAGTGATACTAGGAACAACTGAGGAGAGTATACGATAGTGAAAAGCAAAACCATACAGTTGCTGTCAAGTGCATTCCAATCCATGGCGACCCCATGTGTGTTAGAGCAGAATTGTGCCCTACAGAGTTTTCAATGGCTGATTTTTCAGAAGTAGATCACCAGGCCTTTCTTCTGAGGTACCTCTGGGTGGACCTGAACCTCTAATCTTTGGATTAGTAGCTGAGCACATTAACTGTTTGCACCACCCAGAGACTCTTTAATGAAAACCAGGGGGTTATAAAAACTACATATTGAACAGTGATACTTTCTAGCCATTTTCTCTCATTCTGGATTCCAGAATGAGGTGGCCAGGTCTATACCTTCTAGGAAGGACAGCAAGCTTCTGACAAGTGCATGAGAAAAGAACTAAAGATTCTGACAGTCAAGAGAGTCCCCTCCCCCAACAAAATGATCCAAGACCAGCCTACATTGAAGCCCACCAGTCGACAAACCCCACTTACAAACTTCCAAGAAGCTCTTTAGTGCCTTACTCCATTTCATTATGAAACAGGAAAAAAAAACTGCATCCATGAAACAAAAATAGGATAAAAATGTGATCACAGAAATGAAAAACTCAAGGTTGGAATATACAATTGAGGAAACTTCCCAGCAAGTGAAGAAAATTAAAAAAATAAAATAAACAAAAAACCACAAAGAATGAGAAAATAGGAAAGGGTAAGAAAATCAGTGGATTAGTAGAGAAAGTATATGATTTGGATAACATAAATTCAAGAAAAAGAGTACAGAGAAAAAGAAAGGAAAGAAATTAAGAAAGAGCAATTCAAGAAAAATTCCAGAGTGGGCTCCCTGAGTGCCAAGCTAATTGGTAAAAACAAACCAACAAACAAACCACCTAGGACATATCATCATAAAATTTCAATACACTGGGGACAAAGAAAAGACCCTAAATGCTTCTAGAGAAGAGGAAAAAACAAGAATGAAAAAAGTCACAAAGGATCAGGACTCAAGACATCCTTGTATTCTTATAGCAACACTGGAAGCTAAAAGATAATGAAGCAAAGTTTTCCAAATTCTAAGGTAAAATGAATTCCAACCTAGAATTCTATACCTAGTCACACTAGTAATCAAAATGAAAAACATGAGTGTTTCAGAAATTTACCTCCCATGCTCCCTTTCTTAGGAAGCAAGCAGAAGAGATACTCAATCAAAACAAGGGAGTAAATTAAGGAAGATTCTGGTTGAAGGAAATAGGAAACAACACCAGAATGAAGTGGAGGGAACACCCCGGCATATGATGAAGGGAAATCCCAGGATGGCAGCCGTGGAGGGGGCCAAGAGATCAGATTAGAGCAGGTCAGACACCTGTGACAGAGCTGTGTCCTAGAAGAGGAAACTGAGAATACTTGAACATATTAAGAGGACAGTTCTACTTCAACTGGAAACTTAGGGGATGAATCAGTGCTAGCAATAAAGAAAACTAAGCAAATGAAAAATGAGACAATTAATAAGTCTAGGGAAAATAAAAAGTTGTATAGGGAAGGGAATATAATCATAGTACACGATATAACTCAGCTGTGATAATATTTGCATGGTGATAATAAAGTGAGCACTACATATTGATCCAATCAACAATAAAGATGGTGTGCATGTGTGTATGTGTGTGTGTGTATTTGGTTGGTGCTGGGGATAGTGCATATGAGAGCTAAATCATTATCCTCTATAGTAAGAAATCAACAGTTATTATTTAAAACTAAATATCAGAAAATATCAATAAAAGCATGTTATTAGGAATATGGAAGCGAATAAACAGCTAAAAGAATTTAAAGTAGTTTCCTCTTAAGAATAGGGGTAGGGAAAGAAACAAGGCACTTTTTTGGGCTGGGAGGAGGGGGTTTAAAAGCGTAAGAGAACATGTAACATTTTACACCATGACCATGTATAACTTTGATTAGTCAAACTTTCTTTGTACTACTTAATGACTTTACCTATGGCTAGCCCTATGGCATATCAAACTGGCAATCATCTATTTTTTATATAACAAAATGGAATGAAAAAAAATCACAATTTCTAGTAGATTCCATCATCATTTGATGAAAATTGATGTATCTAATTCCATCTATTTGTGTACTAGAACATGAACAGAATCCTTCTAGGGCATATCTTAGTAGAAAATGGATTTTACACCTTATAAAACTAACCCAATTTTATTCAGAGTCTATTAAAGAAGAAGGTAGCATTAAGGGTAGAAGAAATCACAGGGGGCATGTATAACAACATATTGGTCCAGATCAAATGCTCATAAACCTCCCCACTAACTATTTCTAAAGTTAAGGAAGATGAGAGTCTACAATGATGCCTGTGGTTTATATGGATACAGGCCAAGATTGTCTCTATTCATTCAACCAACAGTGGCTGAGGGCATACTATATATTAGAGACTCTGTTAGATACTGAAGTCACAATGAAAAATAAGACCTAGGTGTTGCTCCTGAAGAACAGCATTCTGTTTGAGAAAAAAAGACTTGAAGTAAATCATCAACAGGGACTTTACCATTTTACTCTGTTTATTTTAGTATCTTCTGAATCTCTTATGTTGAGAATACATTCATCTCGTCCTTGTTCTGTAAAAAAATCAAAACCCAAACAAACTCTCAAAGGATTGTGTGCTGTAACAGATGTGGGCAGAGGAGGAAAAAAAAGTGTCAAGTCAGCAGTAGAGAAAGATCAATTAATTTAGGAAGAGAAACAGTCAAAAAAAAGCTTCAAAGAATAAATGACATTTAAGTTGGATCTTGAAGGATAGGCTAATAGAATTTTGCCAAGTATAGTATGGCAAGCTTCAAGGCCAGTGTCATAGAAGACAAATCATTGGGGCCTAAAGCTTGTAAGATTCAGTAAGTTACTCCATTACTTCCACCTCACCATCCTGCTGAGGCAAGATAAGGCACATCAATCTACAGAATGGACTAGTTCCTTCCCTACCCCTCCAGGCCTGCCCACCCTCAGCTTATCATTACCGTTAAAATTCGTTCCTGAATTTGATATCTCAAGGTGAAGAATAATTCACAAACACAAATCCATGTTAAGAGTGTATTTTAGGATGAATCTACATTTAGTTGGGGATTAAATAGCTTGGTATAAATCATGTTTTAACAGCTGGAGTGTTTTAAGTTAAATAACTGTTTAAAAAAATACCACTGAATTGTCTTCTGAGAAAACACTTCAGTAATAAGAAAATGCAGAGAGAACTTTTTAAGAGGCCAACTCTGTGTCCATCACTAATTCCACTGAAATTTTCATACTGTGTGTCAAAGTCCTGCCACTTAGCAATGATTTAGGGCCCCCAAACACATCAAATTATAAAAAAGTGCCATGTCATGGAATCATACAGATGAATGTAATAAAGCCTTAAAAAATACCCAGAGGGTAGGAGTAGGGGTGGTATATTTTGTGGTCTGATTTAGAATTGTACAGTGGTTCTCAAACTTGAGCATGCCTCCGCATAATATGTTAACTACACAGATTGCTGGGGCCCACTCTCAGAGTATCTGATTCACTGGGTCCAGGGTGGGGCCCGAGAATGTGCATTTCCAAGACGTTACCAGGAGATACTGATGATGCTAGTCTATGGACCACATTTTGTAAATTATCACAATAGTAAATCTCATTAAAAAAAAAAAAAGGAATCTATTATAAACGGGTATATTAGTTATCTAGTGCTGCTATAACAGAAATAGCACAAGTGGATGGCTTTAACAAACAAGAGATTTATTCTCTCACAGTCTAGGAGGCTAGAAATCCAAATTCAGGGTGCCAGCTCCATGGGAAGCCTTTTTCTCTCTCTTGGCTCTGGAGGAAGGTCCTTGTCATCAGTCTTTCCCTAACCTAGTAGCTTCTCAGCGCGGGAACCCTAGGTCCAAAGGATGCGCTCCCTTCCTGGTTCTTTATTCTTGGTAGCATGAGGTCCCCTGTCTCTCTGCTCACTTCTCTCTTTTATATCTCAAAAGAGACTGACTCAAGATACAACCTCACCTTGTAGATTGATCCTGCCTCACTAACATAACTGCCTCTAATCCTACCTCATAAACATCATAGAGGCAGGATTTACAACACACGAGAAAATCATATCTGATGACAAAATGGTAAATAATCACACAGTCCTAGGAGTCATGGCCTAGCCAAGATGACATTTTTGGGGGACACAATTCAATCCATAACAAGGGGCTTTAGCATACACTAAATTTAATTGTAACTGTTAGTAATTTAAATGTGAATGAAATAGTATTATTCATGAAAATGACTCTGAACTCACTTAGAATCCATTTTAGTCACCTTCTTGGTGAAAAATTCATCTACACCTTCATCCACTCTCCCTATCAGACCGTTCTGTTCACCATCTTGAGAGACTATGTTGGCAGCACAGACCTGTAAAACAAACAGGTATAATGTTAATTTACATTCACTAGAATTCAGCAAACAATTATTGCTAGGTTCAAAGCACTGTGATGAGGGCCACGGGAGGCACAAGACTGACTAAAATACCAACCAGTTGCTGTAGAGGTGATTCTGACTCATGGCAACCCGATGTGTGTCAGAGTAGAACTGTGCTCCACAGGGTTTTCAATTGCTGATTTTTCAGAAGTAAATCACCAGGCCTTTCTACTGAAGTGCCTGTTAGTGGACTCGAACCATCAACCTTTCAGTTAGCAGCCAAGTGTTATTAACCATTTGCACCATCCAGGGACTCCTTGACTAAAATAAGGGCCCTCTTAATCTACTAGAAGACAAGTCATATGCACAATCATAACACAAGGCAGGAAGAAACAAGAGTGAGGGATGCTCTGTGAACCAATGCCTGGAGGACCATTCATGCTGACGGATCAGAAGAAGCTCAGACCTAACAGGCTGTGAAGAGTCAAACGCTTCTCAAGGCAGAGGAAAGTATTCCAGCTATATGGCAAGAGAAGAAGAAATGCATGGAAATATAAAACTCACAATATATTCTGAGAATGGTGATAATTCCAGTGGCCTGGTGTGAGGTAGGTGGATGGGGTTAATTGCTGTGGCCCAACCCTGGCACACACAAATAGTGGCCACTCAACAGCCACTACCAAAACTTCTCCCTTGCTGGCAAAGTATTGATCAGGATGTGAATACTGATTTGTATAAGCCAGACAGGGAGTCCTGGGTGATGCAAATGGTTAACATTCTCGTCTGCTAACCAAAAGGCTGGAGGTTTGAGTCCACCCACAGGTGTCTTGGAAAAACTCCTGGCAATCTACTTCTGAAAAATCAGTCACTGAAAACCCCATGGAGCACAGTTTTACTCTGACACCCTTCGGGTTGCCATGAGTCAGAACTGACTGAACATTGACTCCACGGCAACATAAACTGGTATAAGCCAAACACCATAATCCTGTCCCCTTTGCTGTGACTGATAAGCAGGGGTGTGTGAGTCAATTCTGGTCAATGAGCTACAAGGGGAAATCTGCTGGGGAGCTTATGGGCAGGTTTTCCTGCAGAGGAGAAAATGCATTTTTCCTGCACGGTGATGTGAGGGAGGATGTGATGTCTGAGCTGTGGCAGCCATCTGATGCTGATGAGGGGCAAGCCTAAGGACAAAAGCCAACATGCTCAGGATGACACAGCAGAAAGGTGGAAAGCACCTGGGTGCTTGTGTTGTGCTACTGAACTAACCAGTCCTGGATCTTGAGACCTTTGGACCACATACCTCCTATTCCCCCTGATTAGGTAGGACAATGTTTCTCACTGTGTAAGTAACTTTTAGTTGAGTATCGCGTTACCTTCAGTTGAATCTTTCCAACTAATAATACAAAAGCCAATCGTGAACAGCCTTGGACCCTATGCTAAGGAGTATAGAATTTACTTTGTGAGTGGTAGGGAGCCAACAAAAGAGTGATATGACCCAACCTGCATTTGGGGCAGGTAATTCTGGGGTCTACATTATGGACAGATTGCAGAGGCCAGGGATTACAAGTAGGGAAACCTTTTCAGGAACACAAACCAAAGACCCCTGTAGTAATCTAACCTGGAGTGAAGAGGAACTAATTAAGCCTGGAGAAGGAGAATAGAAAGAAAGGAGTTGTCTAAGATGAGGCTGTAGTTTCTAGGCTGGGTGAATGGGAGCACGGGCCTAGGGAACACAGTCCAAAGATCAGATCTGAGGAAGAAACATTAAGCCCCATTTCAGACAAGTGTTTGAGGTGCTGTAGAAATCTAGGGGCAGGAGTCCAGCAAGCAGATGAAAATTTGAGTCTCATGAGAAACTGGTGACAAGTTATAATGAAACTATTCACTGAGTTAGCATTTCTCTTTGAATGGACAACTCAGAGAGAGAGCTTAGTCAGATGCTTGATTTGCTGTCTACAATGGAATATTAAGTAATATTTCATGCAGATAGGTTGTGGGCATATGTCTTGCCCATGCTCTTGGGTACAAGGACAAGTTCTCAAGTGGTCAGGATGGCTCTCCACAGAGCAGTGGGAAAGTCACTTTTTGTAACCATTGATTTGCAAGTCTCAAGTTGCCTAAGGGGGAAACTTGGCTCATGTCTGCACCTGCATTGTTTACAGACCAATCATTTGCTTTTAACAATCATCCACTTCATTCACTGGGAAACCTCCATTATGAAAGTGAACTGCCCATTGGTGTTTAGGTTTGTGAAATATTGAAAAGTGAGCTGACACCAGATAATGGACAAAGAACCCTATGAAATGTGAATAATAAAAACAATTATACTTCTCATCTGAATGGTGTTTTATATGGGAGCAAGGCTTTCCTATGCATTGCAATAGAGCAGAGAATCAGCAAAGTTCTACAATTCAGTTACTGAGAGAAACATAAGCTCACTGAAAAGCTCTTATTTAGATTACAAAAGATAAAGTTGTACAGAACTTTCTTGTATTATAATTTTGTCTTTGGAAAAAGAATGGAGAATAAAATTTCTATAGTAATAGCCCCTGACATTTGTATATAGAGCCCTGGTGGCACAAGTGGTTAAGAGCTTGGCTGATAACCAAAAATTGGCAGTTTGAATCCACCAGCCACTCCTTGGAAACTCTGTGGGGCAGTTCTACTCTGTCCTATAGGGTTGCTATGAGTCAGAATCGACTCCATGGCAATGGGTTTGGTTTTAGTTTACATTTGTATGTAAGTTTGCATATAAGGAGTCCCTGGGGGTGCAAATGGTTAAGCTGCTCGACTACTAACTGAAAGTTTCGAAGTTTAAGCCCACTCAGAGGCATTTCAGAAGACAGCCTTGGCAATCTACTTCCAAAAAATCAGCCATTGAAAAACCTATGGTGCGTAGTTCTAATCTGACATACGTGGGGTCACCATTAGTGGGAATCGACTGTGCAGCAATTGGTTTTAAGTTTGTATAGTACTTGGGAGTTTACATGTGTTTTGCACATTAATATGTCACTTTTATATTGACCGTTTTAATGAGATAGTTTTATCTCAGTTTTTGCTTAGTCACAGATCAAACTGTGGCTCAGAGAATGAGGGGTGCCCCTACTTGGTCACTGACGGATGAAGAAAAAGGACTGAACCTGGGACACATGGTCCTAACACAGTGCTTCCTTCCAGCACACCCTGCTGCTCACCTTGCTTAACCTTCAGAGGTTTCCCCTCAAGTGACTCCCCTTCCCACTTTGAGAACAGAAATTAAATTTTGCTTGTATAATTTCTCCCTTGGGTCCCTTTCTTTTTCCCTGCTCTGAAACAGCATTCACACCTGACACAAGAGATTCCCTGGAGACATGCAGAACATCAACAACTGCAGAGATGGAGGCACAGGGCTCAACAAAGCACTCTGCTTTCAAGCAGAACAGGCCAGTGTTTAGAGTTGGACGGGATTTCACAGATTCCCCAGCCCAACCCTGCCATTTTAGAGATAAACAGCTTGAGAGTAGAGAGGTTAAGAGAAGACCAGGAACACTAGGAGATCTTCAATGAAATGCAGCTTAAAATGCATCTGTTAAAATAGGAAGCTGAAGGTGGCACTGGCCTGTTAAGAGCAGCAGAAAAGCTGCAGACTAAAACGAAATACAGTGTGTCAAAACAGTTCAAGGCCAAACACACATGCTGTGTTAGCTCATTTTCTAGCAAAAGGAAAAGGGAAGGACATAGAGACATCAGAAGTTCTCAGAATCCCATTTGATTTTGGTCTTTCCTGTCAAGGAAAATAAATTTCAGTCTGAAAAAGGTAGTGGAGCTATTAGGAAAGGAGAGCAAAAAACTCCGAGATAGTAAGAGAGCCCTGAGCTAGCTGGAACCAACTGCATCTGTGCTCAGAGAAAGGCTTTGCAAATAAAATTACAGGAATCGCTGTGAATATTTGAGAAATAAAGAAGGCAGATTTTGTATCTATGGTGTGAAAGTAATTGCTAAAAGGATAATTTGTGAATGCTTAGATGATAAACTGGTGATCATGAGGACTAAAGGCAATTCAGACCACCACCCCCCACCCCCGTTTTCCCTCTGCCAGCATTATTAAGATGAATACACTAGGAAAACGCAGTAGGTGGTGCACCTGGATTTTGACAAGGTATCTGTCAAATCTCTCATGATGCCTTTGTAGGCCGGACGGAGAGGTGCCGGAAGTAAGGGCAATTAGTTACCTTACTAACTCTTTGAACAAACACAACCCAAGGAATGCTAATTAATTAGCTGAATAATCATGGAATCTTATTTGCATATATTGGACAGTAAGAAACATGGAAAACTGATGAGCTAAGCAATCAAGGCAAGAAATAAGAAACTCAAAGGAAGCAAATGAAGGAAGTATAATAAAAATAAGAGAAAAATTAATGAACTCAAGAGGACTGATAAAACTAAAGGCTGGTTCTTAGAAAAAGACTAACAGATAACCTCACAGGATTAAGAAAAAGAGAAGGCATTAAAATATATTAGAAATGAAAAAAATGGGACATAGCTATTAGTATAGAAGAGATTAAAAACTCTTAAAAGAATTCTGTAAACAACTAAATGAACAAGAAGACTAAATGGACAATTTCCTAGAAAAATACAAATGACAAAAAAGTCTCAAGAACAAGTTGGTAACAATATAAATAAAATCCCTAGTAAAAAATCTACACGTACACATGCACAGAGACAACATGTTGGGCCCAGATGGCTTCCCAGGAGAGAAACAGACAAACTGCTCTAGAGAATAAGAAAGCTGAGAAAACTTCCCAACTAATTTTATGAAAATAGTATAACTCTGATACCCAAACTAGATTGATTGACAGTGTAGACAAGAAAAAAAAAAGTATAGGTATCTTTCACCTATACACTTAGATGCAAAAATCCTAATAAAATGTTAGCAAATGAAGTCTGTTGTTGGTGCTGTTGTGTGCCATCAAGTCGATTCTGACTCATAGCAACCCTGTATGACAGAATAG